AACTCCGCCGAACCAAATCCAGGTGCCATCTGCCACGTCCCCTGGAGCAGTGGTAGCAGTGGACCAGCTGATATCATCTACAGCTGGATTCGTCGGACAGATGAGGGGGATTCTTACACGGAAGAGGTATACAGTGAGTACAGTTTTCGTTGACCACTACAGTGGCCTCTCATTCGTTCACTTCCAGACATCCACATCGGCGGAACAGACGATTGTCGCCAAGAGAGCTTTCGAGAGATATGCGCAGTCGTTCGCAGTCTCCGTGAGGCATTACCATGCCGACAACGGCATCTTCGACAGCAAGGCTTTTGTTGAGGAAGTGCATAAGTGTGGTCAGACGATCACGTATGCAGCAGTCAATGCTCACCATATGAATGGGCGAGCAGAGAAGAAGATTCGCGACCTGCAGGAGGCAGCAAGGACCATGATCCTGCATGCGAAACAGCGGTGGCCGGTAGCCATCACGGCAAACTTGTGGCCATACGCAGTCAGGTACGCCAATGACATTGCGAACGAGACCCCAGTGCTCAAAGGAACTGGTCACGTGTCTCCCATGGAGTTGTTTTCATCTGTGGATGTAGCGCCCAAGGTCAAGAACACGCACACGTTCGGTTCTCCAGTCTACGTCCTCGACGCGAGAGCTCAGGAAGGAAGGGCGATACCAAAATGGGAACACAAGTCGAGGATTGGCGTGTATCTGGGTCTGTCGCCGAGGCACTCGAGAAAAGTGGCATTGGTGCTGAGCTTGCAAACAGGGTTGGTATCGCCACAATTCCACTGCCAGTTCGACGACCTGTGTGATACTCTCAAGAAGTCATCTGGGAACCCAGTGCCACCGTCGAAGTGGCAAGAGAAAGCTGGTCTTGTCGGACCACAACGAACTGAAGTCCAGCCACCATCGTCGACTGTCGAAAGAAGAAGAAGAGTACAGATATCGATGGATGCGTTGAACGACGGGAATGATCCGATCACGGATCGTGTGCGCGACTCGGAACGCAATCGGACGCGCCATCAACAAAGAGGCGAAAATGACGACGGAACAATAGTTCCAACGGAGCATCAACAACGACAAGATGATGACGACGAGTCGCTGCAGCAACAGCTACAGCAACAGGACGATGCGCTACAACAACCGCCAGTTATCACTAGGTCGGGGCGCACAGTGCGACGAGCGAACAGGCTCATCGAGGAGATGGAATCGTACTCAGCCATCCCATGGGAAGTCTTCCACGATGAGGGGTACGCAATTCAAGATGAGATGCAGGATCCCATCGCCTTCGCTGCATCATCCAACCCAGACATCATGTACATCGACGACGCAATGAAAGCCCAGGACAGGATCCAGTTTCGGGAGGCCATGGTCAAGGAAGTCAGCTCTCACACGGATTGGAAGCACTGGCAGGTCGTCAAGAAATCATCGATGCCAGCAGGAGCTCCGCTACTACCCGCGGTCTGGGCATTCAGAAGAAAGAGACGGATAGCCACTCAGGAGATCTACAAATGGAAGGCTCGTCTCAACGTACATGGTGGCAAGCAGACCAAGTTTGTCAACTACTGGGAAACATACTCTCCGGTAGTTGGATGGTCCACCATCCGCACCTTCCTCATCTTGATGTTGATAAACAAATGGAAGTCTAGACAAGTCGATTTCGTGCTTGCCTTTCCGCAAGCCGATATCGAATGCGAGATGCACATGGAGATCCCACAAGGATTCTACATTGATGAGAGAACGGGAAAACCTGTCTTGCAACAAGGACAAGGGAGCAAGAGATACAGGGGCGACTACTGCCTACTGTTAGAAAAGAACCTTTACGGTCAAAAACAAGCAGGAAGAGTCTGGAACCAGTACATGCATGATGGCCTGATAGCGAGGGGTTTTCATCAGAGCGACGTCGACATGTGCGTGTATTACAAAGGGTCCGTCGTCCTGCTGGCTGGTATATGTCGATGATGGTATCTTCATAGCACCTGACGAGAAATCGATTGACGACGCCTATGAGTCTCTGTCCAAACCGTTTACAGACAAAGATGGGAAGGTATTCCGAGCACTGAACATGACGAACGAGGGTACACTCTCTGATTACCTTGGCGTCAAGATGGAGCCACTTGAGAACGGAACCATCAAACTGTCCCAGCCACACTTGATCAAACAGATCCTCGATGATCTAGGAATGGCAGAGGGGGTCACCAAGTCGCAGCCAACACCAGCAGCTTCGACAGTCCGACTGCACAGGGATCTTCACGGAGAGGACATCAAACAGGAGTGGCATTATCGAAGCGTGATTGGGAAGATGAACTTCCTGGAGAAGTCTACCAGAATGGACATCGCGTATGCCGTACACCAGTGTGCCCGGTTCTCATCCGAACCAAAGGAGTCGCATGCTGCAGCAGTCAAGAAGATTGGGCGCTATTTGGTGGGCACCGCGGATAAGGGAATCATCCTCAATCCACAAAGCTGTTCTTTCGACGTGTTTGTGGATGCAGACTTCGTGGGCAACTGGAACCGAGCCACGTCAGACGTAGATCCAAGCATGGCACGATCCCGTACAGGATTTGTCGTGATGTATGGTGGATGCCCAGTCGTATGGGCTTCGAAGCTACAGAAAGAAGTGGCCCTTTCTACCACGGAAGCAGAGTACAACGCCATGTCGGAGGCTCTGCGCGACACGATCAACTTGATGCAGCTTATCGAGGAGTCAAGGAAAGTGTTGAAGTGGAAGACGCACGACAAGCCACCAGTAGTGCATTGCAAGGTTTTCGAGGACAACAGTGGAGCCCTTGAGATGGCAAAGATGCCAAAGATGAGACCTAGAACAAAACACATCGGGGTCAAGGTCCACCACTTCAGAGATCACGTACGATCAGGCAAGATAACAATCCACAAGATACCAAGTCGTTATCAGTTAGGAGATATGGCTACTAAGCCACAGCCCGTGGAACTATTCGAGTTCCAGAGAGAGTGCATCATGCAGTGGCTAGCCGAGGAGATGACACGGCAACAACTCTTGCAGCCAGGACAGCATCTGAGGGCGTGTGAGATTGTGAGAGATCATGAAATCCTCAACAACCTGGAAGATCAGCCTGCTTCCAAACCTGCAAGGAAAGTAGAGTCCTCAACTGCCAAGAAATGAAATATCAAGGAGCAACAGTTGGGGAGTAAGTAGATAGTATAAAGGGTAATAGCTCACAATGTAGCACTCAAACCCTCAAGAGGTGGATCAAGACAAACAAAACAATGGGCTCTGCGACTCAAGGTTGGTGATCCTCGTGGAAGAGCACTGGCTGGATGAATCAGATTGGGGACTCTCGTCTGTCCGTCATCCGTCTTGGCCAGAGCATCCAGAAAGCCTCTCCTAGAGGCAGTCAACCACGTTCGTCGTGTACTGCTCGATAAGGATGATTCTGATAGTGATTCTGATAGTGACCGCAAGGATGGTTCTGATACTGGTGCTGGTGCTAGCACTAGCTCTAGCACATGCAACAGTCGAAACGAAGATCTCGAGAAGGAAAAGTCTCGTCGCCTTCTGCAGGAGTACACCAAGACGTACAAGTCGTTCGAATCGCATATGGATACCCATGGCGCAGGCTCTCACTTACATTCCCACGCGCGCAACCTTCACCATGCATTGGCCGGGGGAGATCACGCCTTTATGATCCAGAAATTCAACTCCATCATACACAAACACCAACGGCGCCTATCATCAAAACACAATCGCCGTCACAGGAAACTATCCAAGTTGGATCAGTGCAAACTTCTAAAAGAGTGCGCCGGAGCAATGAGCCTCTACGATCTGTACATATACTAGCAGTCTTGTTACACCGATAGAAGAGAGGTGGATCAAGACAAACAAAACAATGGGCTCTGCGACTCAAGGTTGGTGATCCTCGTGGAAGAGCACTGGCTGGATGAATCAGATTGGGGACTCTCGTCTGTCCGTCATCCGTCTTGGCCAGACCACTCGGATGACATTGATCCAATAACGGGTGACGTTGACGATAACGTCGTCAGCTTTATAGAACCAAACTGGAAAGTCGAATACGCTGAAATTCAGAGACTCGCTGCAGCACTCAAGCCCCTCAAGCCCGAACCGCCGATTCCCCAGCCCCCGAGTGATTCTTCAGATGATCCGAATCCCCTCAAGCCCCATCCGATGGCCCTTTCCAGTGGCAGTGGAGGGGGCGACTACCCCGTCCACGAGGAATCAGAATCGGAACACCACTTTGGCAGAAATTTGCAAGACAAGCTGATTGACGTTGATGATAGTGATTCGCAAGACAATCACATTCCCTGGAACGGTGGTGATTCGCAACAAGACAATCATATGCATAGAAATTTGCAAGACGATTCCAGTCCCCTGAACAATAGCACTAGTGATTCTCAAGAAGATCCCACTGAGGTCTATGATTGGGAAGTCTGTGACGACTTGCTGGGTCATTTTCATCGCATTGGTACGTTGCAGGTCATTTCGAATTCCCGCATGCAGTGCATTGCATTTGCACACCCAACACCCAAAGCTCACTTACGCTCACTCATGCATTTCTTATTGCAGTCGAACACAACAACGTACCAGAGCTTCAAGCGGCAACCGTCGCACAAGTCTGTCTTGCTGAAGGAACCACCGCCTACGTCAAGCTGGCTGCGGCAGCGGGTTCCGCTGCCAACATAAAACATGTGGCTTCCGTCAAAGACGCTTTCAATGAAGCATATCGTGGCGGCAAGGCATACGCCACGGCGTGGTCAAAGGTTAATATCCATGCATGGGACATCTCCGTGGGATCCGACGACACCGTCGTCATCTTGGAGACAACCATGGGTTACCCTATGTTGTACAACCTCAAAAAAAAGATCTGGCACCACTTGCAAAGTCCTTTCAAAAAATGGAACCACGAAGCACAGGAGTGGTACGAATCGAAAAGCATCACCAAATTCAAACAAGTCGAGGTCGTCGATAAAAACAATATCTACGCATTGGGTCGTTACAACCACCGTGTTTACAAATACAATGCCAAAACTGACGATTGGAGTCTATTGCAAGCGATGTCCACGTGGGAAGATCCCGACGGAAACAGGAAGGATATGACATATGCAAGGATCGCGGCCTGTTCAAGTATGATCTACGCAACCACCCGCACCACGACGGAAAAAGATTCGGTGCTTTATGTATACACAATTGGAGAAGGACAACCCGAGCTGGTGAAATCATTGTCATTCGCGGATATATCCATGTCAGCGGATTGCAAAGTCCTTTGGACGGTCTTTTGGGGTTACCCTTATTTGCGCATTGATCTTGATCCTGATGAGTGGGCGCATCCTTCAAAGATTTCATCGCGGCAGATCTCCGCCTGTTCATCCAGGTCGGCCTGGGGAGTGAATGACAATAATGAAGTCTTTAGTACCCAAGACCGCGGGGAGACCTGGAATTTCGATATTGATTTAGAGTCAGGGGACAATGTGAAGCTCTCCAAGGTTGCCGCGGGCACCCCCCTAGAAACATGGGGCTTGGATGCCTCCAATAATGTGGTCCGGCGAGGAAGAGCACACGATACCTATGTCGCGGTAATTCGGGAAAGACTGAATGGTCTGATTGAAGAGTTCCTCGTGGAGGTTGTCACATGTGCAGAGGGAATCTATGTACATGCAAAGAACACTAACTCCAATTTTAACGAAGAATTCGTGTTCGGCATGCAAGGCCAGCTAGTCGATGGCAAGGTGAAAAAGATTCGTGTGCCCGTTGCGGTGGACACATCCAACCGCAACGACTACGGATTGATCGAGGACTTGGAATTGCCCTCCTTTGAGTTTGAAACATTCACCGACGTGATTCAAAAGTTTGACGCGTGCGCAGAGAAACTCATGCCCAAGCTGAATGACGGTGTCATCCTGGCACTGGACCTTGATGATCGCGAAGCTGCTGAAACAAATTTTACCAAAGCTTATCAGGAGTATGCCGACGACCTGACTGACAAGTGCATCTCCAAGTACTTTTCTTTGTTCGATGACGGTTTGAGCTTGGTGTTTGGGGGGAAGCCGAGTCCGGGCTATATCTGCGGGATCAAAGAAGCTGTAGTTAACCAGAACAAGCCCATGCCTGGGAGGTGCTGCCTTGACGCACCGTTCCAGTTGCAGGACAACGATTGGGGGCACGCGGTGAGAGAAAAGACTGCGTCGCCTCTTTGACTTGTTTTGAGACAATTTTTAAAAGCTTGCTCACCTTGTCTTTGCCTTCTTGCAGTATGATTGTTCTATTGAATGCACTCGATTTGGGCCACTCTTCGCAGGGATGAGCAACGAGGCCTGTGAAGCCCATGGCGGTACCTTTTGCCCTGAGCCATCTGATTGCGTAGAATTGATTTCTTGTATCGCCAAGGAAGTGACTTGGGCAAAGCAACACAAGATGGCTGCATACGAGTATTATTTGAAGGAAGCTCCTACCAACTTCACGGACACCACATCTACGAAGGACTGTGGCCTTCTACGAGCGTTTCTTGGTTTTGACGAGTCGTAAGTGGGATGGTGGTATCAGGCGTGGTGCTGAAGGAGCTTGTTGTGATTACACGATTGCACGCTTACCATTTCTGCATGCTCTACTGTGGTGGACCATGATGGCGCTTGACAGATTCAACAAGTAAGCCCCCACAACTCTGCGCGGAACAGTGAATCGTTTTCGTCAGGCTCTCACACTCTCAACTTCATTCTTGGTTCGTCTCTCTGTGTTACAGTGACAAGCAAATTTGTCGTGATGTTGAGCAATTGAAGCATACCCGTGACTTTGCTTTCTTGGATGAGTTCTTTAGCCAAGGCAGCACCGAGGTAGACGGTGGAAAGGGTGATGAGTGCAAATGTGAGGTCCCGCCCAGGCCAGAATTGGTCTTCACAAAGCCTGACAGGGGTAAGTTTCAAGTGGGTGCGAACTCCACTGACTGTGGGTGCATCTACCTTGCGTTCTCACCTTGTGTGCTGTTTGTCAATGCTGAATCCCAAAAGCTGTGTCAAAGTCAAAACCTGTCAAAAACGGAAAGGCGTGGAGGGCGACCAATCATTTGGTGGATACTGTAGGAAAAGCTCTTCAATTTTCCAAAGACGTAATTGACAACTTCGTCTGCCCTGAGGACTTCACCGGTGCTATTAAAACCTTCTGCGCGGTTGGCAAGAATATTGCTTCGGTAGTGCTCGGTATTGCTCTTTATATTGCTCAAGGGGTAGGCAATGCTGCAAGGCCGGATGGCAGATGTTAGATGCTGCTTGTCCTCAAATCATTGCCGTCTTCATCCATCAGGTGTCACATTTCTCCGAATTCACTTACAATGAGATGGCCACCATCGATAATGTGGGCGAGATGAAGATATCGGAAAAGTAAGTCGAACGTCTTGCAGAAGTTGTTTGCATTTGGGCAGGCGGCAAGGCTAACTGATCGAACTGCAGCTTGGATGCGCTCGTGACAAACATGGAGGAGCTTGCGGAGTATTTCAACTCGGGAGGTCGGATTCGACGAAACCTGCTTCCTGGCAACGATGTTAGCAGTATCAATCCTGTGGAAACTACAGCTGCAGTCGACCTCCAGGTTGAAATTGTCAGCAATGACAATCCCAGAGCGTTTCTTTGCGTCACAATGGTGCAAGGTGCAGAGAAAACTCCAGATGACTTTGAGTTGCTTGTTCTTGACATGGCACAAAAGAAATATGTTTCAGTGTCCGACTGCACGAAGACACAGCTCGCCCCTGGAAATACGCTTGTCGAGATCCCGGATGCGGTCGCGGGGCAAGTTTTTACTCTCAAGGTCATTTTCGTCGACGATTCCTCAAACAAAGGTTTGGCAAACGCCACTCGCTTGGTCGCTTTCCGCGGTCAAAGCAATAAGGAAGCCTAACTCAAGTGGAGAGGAGCGGCTGACGGCGTGTCTGCTCTATGCGCACTTGCATACATATATATTACGTTTCTATCTTCCAAGACAAACTCGACGGACCTCTGAATTCCTTTGGTGGTCGCTACTCTGAAACCTGTTGCTGGCTTTGCTGCCACGATCGAGATCCCATTGCAGATGCATGCCGCGGGCGGTGAAGCACGAACCCCAGCATGGTCGCTACTACTGGATATATTCTCTACGTTTACATCTGTCTGGTCAAACTAGACTCTCGGAACTGGCTAAACTAGCTTTAGTTTCTGTGTATGCATTTGACAAGATTTTCAGTCCTCAGTGCCGTAGTGCTACTATCTTCCCTCGGATGCGCAAAAGCTCTATTTCCTTCCGTGGACTAGAAAGACCAGACCAGCCGTCAAGAGGGACAAATTGATGACTGACATGTTTTTCTGGTGTGCTCCGCTGCTTGTTTCGGCATTCTCAGCGCTGTCGGGCTCTTCTTCGTTGCCACCACTTGTACCGGTAGTTCCAGTTGTTTCGGGAGCATTGGTGCCGACGCCACAAGCCTCACGCAACGAATCAATGATCATGCGTCGCTCCATAGGATCCGAACCCCCCTGAAACATCATTTGTGTTCCATTCACAAAGGTTTCCCAACCATTGATTTAGGGTTGTTTCGTTCCACGTAATCCCGCTATCTTTCAGTGCGTCGCTGTAGGCGAAACTGCTGTCCGATGTAGCTGCTGGCTTGTCAAAGATACAGGTTTGGCCATTAAAGATGTCCGGACCGGCGCCAGTGGCACCATCCAGGACATGACAATTCGAAAAAGCAGCCTGAAGTTTGCGTGTTTGCGTCTTTTCGGAAGAGTGAGGAGCGGAAAGTGACGCAGCCGCAGCTCCGTGATGGCGAATTCGGGTAACTTCGCCACCAGCGCCACTACCAGAAGACATGGCCTTAGCTGTGGCAAAGGTTCCTGCGGAGACGGCAGCGAGCGCTTGGATCGTAGTCTTCATCTTCTCTTTTTCTGTTGTGTACACGAAGCGGTTGGCTGTATGTAGAGGATACGTGAGGTTTCGTTTGTTTTGGATTGGCTAGCCTGAGCTTCCTTTTGTTGATGAAGCAGTTCTGTAGTTTGTGAGACCATGCAACGGTGAATTTGCATGGAGGGCCGCATCGTGTACGCACACTGGAGATCGTATGATCATTTGACTGGACGTTTTTCCAGTCACAGATTGCTCGGGTGGACTCGACTCGACAGTCACTCGACTGGAACAGATCCGCGGGTTGTTCCGGATGTCAACCCTCCCTCAAAGATGAGCTTGAACGAGTTCCTGGGCCTTTTCGATTCATACTGTACATTTGTGGAAAAAAACGCGAAACTGCATGCCTGGATTTGTTGCTGTTCGGGCTGCTCGTCGCTTCTGTACTCTCCTAAAGCGAGTCTGGTTGCGTGAAATCCCTTGTCAAAACACCCGAGCCTTGCTAGGGTTGCTCAGGAATGAACAGTCAATTGGCTAAACAATAGGTCTTCTTGCCTTGACGGCTTCATGCGGGGAATCAATGTCAATGCCATTCTGCTGCATGGCTAGCTAGATACCAGGTAGCACATGTAGAGATACTTGTGGTTGTCTTGTGTGTGAGGAGAGATATCCTCTGAACGGAAGGAGGAGTGACATTACGAAGTATTGTTTACCATTTATTTGTATGGTAGAAACCAGAGTGCGGTAGATTGGGTCAAACCACATATATATGCAGAATTATACTGTATTCTATTTCTCAAAGAGATAAAATGGAGCTTCAATAAATCACGAACGATGACGTCCCATAATTGAAGATGAGAAGAACCATTAAACACAGAATCTAGCTACCGTACTGTAGCTTGCTTTGAAAGCATTAATTATTTTTAAAAGAGGAAAATGTTTAATAGTTTCAGTTTCACACAACGAACAGTACTGTATTAATAGTTGTTATCTTCTAAAACTGCTCTGTGGCTTTGCTTTTGATAGCTTTTTGATTCGATTCACTCCCTGAACACCTGGCGCTACCGGTAGTAGCTAGCTAGAAGCCATTAGAGCTTAAGCTCTTAGTAGACTAGTCTAGCTAGTACGATGGGTCTAGCCAGCATTACCGGTAGCATTGGCATTGATTACGATGATATTGTAGTGCCAATTTATGCGGTACAGTAGCTATGAACTCCAGTCGATCACTGCTCCTTGAAGCAACTCCTTTTTCCCTGTGGTGGTACCAGGTGCAGTAGTAGCCCACTCTTGAAATAGCATGGATACGTACGTTCGTACGCTCCTATCAAAAAAATTATTGTTGTCCTTTCGCACCTTCGCAGCACAGCTTTACTTTAAAGATCAGTACCGGCAGGCCACAGCCAACTTATGAGGTACTAGTAGTTAACTATTAGTAGGAGGCATCGTGATTTTCTCAAGTAGTCTACTAAATACGCTTACTCCAAATTTGTATTAGATTGGGTTCAACCGACTTATTAATGACTTCAAAAATCACTACTTAGTACCTCTTCAACCAAAGCATAGATCATTAATTAAATAAACTACTGGAACGGGACATTTGCAATCAATTTAGTACCTACTCGGTACTCGAGTACTAAAAGTTGTTTTCATTTGCGTTTAATTTAATACCTTTAGAATCGCTACTCAAGTATTAAAATGTTATTCTGATTATTGAATAATTAATTGAAGAACCATACCGGTACAGTGAAACTGACTTCAATTCTTTTCTCCCAAGCTCCCCGAAATAGCGGGGTATGTTTTGACAGGGTTCACAGCTTTATCTACAGATCGACCTCGGGCATGCATGGCATAATATGCATGCAGTGTACGGGCTCAACCGTCTCGGGCACACCTCACTCGCAAAATCGTCACACTGTCCCTTGGTGGTGCTGCGGACGGAGTACGAGTAGTCTTGTAATTGACTCGACTCTCACTCGTAGCGTTGCAGGGCCAAGACGCTTAGCCGTTGCTTTGCGAATTCAACGGAAGAGTTGCGCACCTCGCTGCACTCACCCGGAATCAAATCAACTTGTTCCGAAGGGGGGAGGAACGCAACAACAGCAACAACAAACAACAACAAAGAGGGTACCAATACTTGCTGGCTAGCTAGTGGCCCTGCTGTGGATAAGACAGAAATCTCGAAACAAAGGTCGCGTTTTCGTTCGTCGTCGTTCATTGTGGGCTGATATCTACCGGTACCGTAAAGGTGATCCCGCCTATGACACACACGATCACACAAGAGGATCAAGGTGTGCTCTGTGGAAGCTACTACAGTAATCATCAAGCCAGCTGCAGTATTGGAGAATGCGGCGCTTTCGATGTTGCAATCGTTCCGGAATCGATGAAGTCATCGGTTTCCAAGCTCTAGAAGAGGGAAGCACCAGTAACACGTCCATCTATACGCCGCCTAATCGGGCCTATGGTGTTCGTGGGGCGGGGCGAGGAGGACCAGAAGAACAAGGACGAGGCAATATCAATGAAACCAACAATAACAGAAAGTCGAGGAGCTTACGAAGATTTTTCATTCCCGCAGCAGCATCTATAACGGGACGCAAGAACTTCACCAACGGCGACCAGCATTCGCCCACCGCCAGGAAAGAAGCTTCACTAATCTCCGTAAGTCAAGCTTCATCCGAGAACACTAGTAGTAGGCATACACCGCAGTCGATGGCCCTCATGCTCAGTTGCTCCACGGACATTGATGTTGGGAGCGGCAATGGGGAAAGCAACGACGGCACCAACGATTACACGGATCCAGCACCCTCTGACGAATACATGCACATCAAAGGACCCATTGATACGGACACTTGCCAGATATTTCGGGACAATCTACTAGACAATGTGAAGAACACTAACCCTGGCCCCGGCAACAACCTTCTGCTCGCACAACGCAGCAACAGCCAAAGCACTAGCATCGTCACAAACGAGAGCAGAAGCACTGTCGAAGTGGATGACCCTTCCATTACCGATATCCTCGAAGCATTGAGTGATTACGATTCGTCCACGCATCATCGTGTCCGCCGAAAAAGCGTCGAAGAGACCAGACAAAGCCTTCAAGCTTTGACCAGGCCATCTTACGACAGTGGAAGTGACGAAGAAGACTCCATTCTAGCTACTCATAGGAACGGAAACAAGAGACTTAGTCAACCAGCATTCCAGGTACCGCTGGCGTTTTGGCCAAAGAGAAACCGCACCCCCACGAAACCCACCAATGAATCAGACGAGCCTCTCTTGGGGGACAAGGATCGCGAAGCAGATCAAAATACAGTCTCAACAAAGGACCACACACTGACGGAAGGAGAGGAGTCTACTGTGTGTGTTGTTGAATGGGAATCTTCTGATTCATCTCAGAAGTCTGATGGCAATCACAAGCAGATCCATCACGGCAATCTCATCGAATGGGTGAACGCACCAAAATCAGCGGGAGGAAAGGGCGACACTCGAGGTGCACTCGAAACGATTGAGCCCAGCAACATGCTAATATCTACAGATTCTCCAATACTTCCGGAGGACCCAACCTCTTTGGAAAGGGTTGAGTCGTCTAGTTTCTACACACCAGTTTCAACCAACGTGGTATCCTCCGGTGGAAACAGTGCAGACAGCTCCCGTGGAGCCAGCGTTGATTACGACGAAGCCGGCGAGAAAAGGGGAGTACCGGCAGACGATGATATAGCATCGACAAATTCAACCCGCATGTCCTACAGTCGAAGCATGACAATAGACAATGAAGACGAACTTTGCTTGCAGCCTCAACCAACAGATTTCTCCTGGCTCTCATCTTCCAACAACAGAATAGATGTAGTTCCATCTCCAGAATTTGTGATAGACCAAAAAGGATCCCTTGTTGGCGTGGAAATCAGCAGCAGAAGTTGTGAAAGAGCTGACAGAGACGGCTCGAGAGAACCGGTCATAGAACAAGTGGAACATGACCCCTGGCGCCAACAGACAGTTGTACAAAAAAATTACGGCTTAGAGACCCCCCAAGCCATAATCCGGGACGACCTGGCCGTTGCGGCCCCTTCATTACCTCTTCCACCTCCAACCAATCATACACCAGATCGCCAAGCACGAGATCGCCAAGCACTCGGAAATCAGCTTTTGGATCCTTCTACCTCCGATATCTCAAAACTAAGGTCATCTTGGAAAACAGATCCAATTGCAATCATTCCTCTTCCATTCTTTTCAAGCAGCCAACCAAAAGACTCTGAGGCGATTCAAACGTCATCTTCAAGAGATAGTAAAGAAATGGCCCTTCCTCCAAATGATGACAATGCCTTCACGTCCCCACCACGGATGAAGTCTACTGCAGCTGGCAACGACAGTGCTCTCTTTTGGGATGACAGCGAGGAAGGAACTAAGTCCGAACGCTTTCAAGTGCATCATACTAATGAGCTCGTGGCGTGGCCCGACAGTGGCAAGTCTCCATCATTGCAAAGCGAATTTTACCCGCCTGTCGTTGGGAAACACTCTAGCACAAAACTTGAACGCAAACTCCACAATGAAAAGGAAGTTACCAGTACAAATGATTATCCAAGCTCCGGTGTAGTTTCCGTGTCGCCACCCTTGATAAACTACAGCAAAGATTCCAGTGGCAACGCAAGGGAACCAAGCACAGGAGGAGCACTACAAAGCAAGAATGGTTCTTCGAAGTTTGCGCTCTTTGACCGACAACAGGATGCACTGCATCTACACAAGCCCCTCCCTGTTCGAGCAACGTATCATCCTGTTTCCTTACCGGTCGTGATGGATGGCCCTCAAGGACCGGCATCTCTAAACTACAGTTACAGTGTGAAGGCTGCGACTACGACTACAACGTCGAGCGCCAGCAGTCTCGTGTCGCATTGCTCTTCTTCATCCTCCGTTCATGACAAGTTCCGACAAGAGGACCAATTGCTCATGGGGCAGAAGTCAGGGCAGGCTTCGGAGGAGACGGCGTTTGAAATGCGGCAAACCAAGCAAGACTCATTTGACATTGACCACCATATTCCCGCGGCGCACTCGCTGCGTACCGCTTCGTCTGCTGCTGAAGCTAGTCTCGCGTGGCGAGAACCAGATGATGATATAGAATGCGCGGGCATCCATCAAGGGCGAGCAAGCTTTGGGGTATGCTCTTCCGAAAGCGTTACAAGTTCAAGTATCGCTGGTTCGGACAAGCGTCGATCGGTTCAGTCCTATTGGGAGCAACGGATTGCCAATGCAAGCCCAATTCTTCCGCCACACGAAGAAGGGAATGTTTCTCGATCCGAGAGGAAACCCACGTCGGTAACTCCGCCGGCAAGGAAGGGGGCGAATGTCATGTTGAAAATCCAAGCTCTCGAACGCCAGTTCTACGGGGACAGGTAATCTCCAGCAATGCAGAGCTATTAATTAATTACTGAGCCACTAATAGATCCTTATATATATATAGCAACAACTGGTGCCAATGCCTGTCATGCACGAAGTACATCGTACCGTACCGCACAGACACCACCAATGCTGACAAAAGGATGGTCGACAGGTTCTCAAGCGTCTTTGGTGGAGGGCTTGCTCTCGACACCACCACCACCAAAGAATCCCAACCGCTTCAGTGCTGGGTACACTCTAATGACGAACCCTTCGAGTATTCGCAAGGGATCCAGAACGTGAACATAGAAAAGCATGAGAATGCAGAATGTTGTAGCACCGAGACCAACAGCATAGCAAGCTAACCAAACACAAGCCAAGGCAGTCAAGTAGAGAGTGTGTGTGGTCCATGTGCCAGGAATGGAAATGCCCGAGTCATGAAGCTCCCCACTTTGGTAGTATTTGTGGTAGCAGTAGTCCCAAACATTGTTTAGCACGAAATCCAAACCAGGAACGGCGAGATCCATGAAGTTGCAAAAGCGAGTTTCTTGACTGTAGTCATGGTGAAACTTGTGGTGCTCATGTCCAGGGAGTAGGCCGAGCGGGGCGAATACATACTGAATGATGAATCGCACCAGTGGGGGGAGGTATTTGTTCAGGCCATGACTATGATGATGCCCAGCTGCCTCCATGAACCAGGAGAGGAGGAACCAACCCATCAAGAGCCTGGTTTGACTGCTTTGGTAACACCAGTATGAGATGAGACCATACTTGATAAATTCGTCCCACATGCGGCCCTCACGGCGACATGATGGAAACAGATGGATCAAAAATTGACCGGCAAATACATCAATGTAGTTATGGCTTCGGTGGTGTCCATAAGGAAATACATAAGCAGCAAATTCGCTGCTAGTCCAATGGTAGTCCAGCATTCGCGCATGGAAGGCCATATGGACCACGCCAAACATGAGTCCTGCAAGGTAGAAGCCTGCAATGGCAGCAACGGAAATCTGCAATATCGAGAACTTGAAGGCAGTTTCAATGATCAGGGCAAGGGAGCAAGCAACAGCGACGTCGCCAAGTGCATTGGAACGGGCCCTGAACTGTTCCTTGCCTTCACGGCTGTAAATGTCCGGAATACCCCTCCCAATGAATGAGTTCTTCCAGAAGGACAACCAAAAGTCGTAGAAGGCTTTGTACTCTTCTTTGGTAAAGTTTCCCATAGGCCGATGAACTCCCTTGTAGTTGAGAAACTTTCCTGTGACAGGATCATGTTCTTCACAAATTTTCAGTTCTTCCTTGGCAACTTTCTTGTCAACCTGGGCGGCTTCATTGTTGGAGGATTGCAAGGTCTTAGTCTGGATGCACATTGTGGCTGATTGGGTATTCTTTGTCTCTCGTATTGTGATCGGATAGAAGCTTGTGCTGTGGATTAATTTTGGTTTTGCAAATGCTGGATTTATGTAAGTGAGGCGAAAGATTCGAGGCAGACGAAATATTAAAAAAGGGAGGTAGATAACGTGGCTGTGTGGATTTCACTTATAACGGTGACCAGCGAACCCAGTGGTGAGACCCTGGGAATCGAATCGAGAGAGGATATCGTATCCATGCCACCAACACTATTTACGGATTCGAGAAGAACTGTCCTTGGGCCAGTGCTGAAGCCAATTGTTGCACATGGAAAGGAGATTTTCCTTCCCTTACAAAAGTCTTGTACAATTCTACGTGAGGCGCAATCCGAACTCCTCGTCCAAAATGGATCGACTCGTTTTCAGCTAGCTCTATCCTTAAACAGGCAATGGTACTTTTAAGTACAACTCAATGGAAATTCCTTTCCGAGGCGTCGCAATAATCGAGGTGGCACAATCCGCTTCAGCAAGGACAGTTCTTCTCCAATCCGTAGCATGCACTCCTCGCATGCATATCATACAAGGTAGGCCACGATGACCGTTTCCACTCAAACACTATATTCCCAACTCCGTTCTATGCATAGATCTAGCTAGCTAGTACTAGTATCGTACAGTCAGTTTGCCCGATGAACACCAATCTACTACAAGTAGTGATGACAGGCAGGGCAAAGCGCAAGAAATTACATGCCAGCCAACACACCAGTACCGTGCGTGGAATTATGCACACTAGACTAGCTAGTACTACTAGCTAGTACACTGTAGAACAGTAGTGCCGGGCGTCTCGAAACCTCGAGAACCTGGAGAGCTGTTCGGCAATGGGCGAGCGATGAAATTTGCTCCACTCTGCACCCAGGAGGAAACACATTTTCACCTTTTTAGTTTGTGGCAGGTCACGGTGGCACAAGATGGAGACGCCCACCCTTGTCTCTCTGCAAGGGATTGAAGATTCGCCTTGTCATGCGGAATTGAACAGTCATAATCTTTGTTTTGTCCAATGGAGGTTTTGGTCCATCCTTTATTGAAACTCGTAGAGTCTACGAACCTGGTACTGGTACTGGGTGACAGGGGAATTACTAGGGTGGAACGTCAGGGGAAAATAGACAAGACATTGGCTCTATAGTTAGTCTGTAGTGTAGCTAACTGTCAAGATCATAGAACCAAGCTATTCTACAGCAAATGCTAAAAGGCTAGTGTTGGCTAATCTGTTGGTGCTATAGGTTACTGGCTGCCTGTTGCCTGTTGCCTTTGTCATTGCCTTCCCCATCACTGCTCCAGCTCCATCCCATCACCTCACCTAAAACAAACAGACTGTGGCTGGTGAGTTCAATGCTGCAATGATCAAATCAATCACATCCCATGTGTGAGCTGAGAACTAGGAGAAGGAAAGTCAATGGTGTTGGGTCACAATGAGGGAGCTCTCACAGAAGCCCAACACAATTGACCTGCCCTCTCCAGTCTTCAAATCACACATGGGAGGCCAATGGCAGGGACCTTGACTGGTGGGTGCTCAACTCATTCCATTGGATGAACATCATCGATGAACCAAATGAACTCATCAACATGTTCATCCACTTGAATGAGTTGAGCACCCACCAGTGAAAGGCCCAGCCCAAGACCAGCACCACAAACGAATCCCAGCCACTTACCATATACAACAAGAGTTTGAGCAAACTGTTGTGAATGGCTCACCCCGTCTCTTGAACATGCTTCGTGGAATTGCTGCAGGTGGCAATGGGTTGGATGCACTGACTACAAATGATCTCCAAGGCTTGTTTGCCCGCTGCTTCAATGATCCGAGTGGACAGAACCAACCTGGGCAACAGCCTGCAGCACCACAGCCTCCAGCGCCACAGCCTGTCCGTGCCGCCACCCCACCAATTCGAGCACCAACTCCAGTGCGGGCAGCCACTCCCCCAGCTCAGGTACCAGTTGCTAGGCCTGTCTATGAACGACGCCCTTTCGTTGCTAATCCACTGATTCCCCCAGTGATTCCAGGTGGCATGCCTTACGTGGTTCCGACTCGTGTCCACCCGCTCCAAGTTGAAACTGTAACTGATGATAGCACCACTGCTTCGACTGCTTCATCCATGTCGCAGTCTCAAAACCATTGATCTTGTCCCTTGAAAAGAAAAAACTAGCTTTATAGCCTCAATAACAGAATAGCTTATATCTTGTGTTAGACACCCTAGCTACAAAGCATCTACAGAAACTACATGGGCTGTGCCTGGACTTGCACTGGAGTTCCACCCTAGTAATTCCCCTGTCACCCTGTACCAGTACTGGACCGTAGTTGGTCGGTGCGCACAAGGTACTTACCATTTGATACCCCAGCTCTGTCTATCCGAACATTTTCGTAAGAGTGATTGGCTGGCGTCTAGGAACCAAAACCCCAAACCGTTCAACCTCTGGCCCTTGACTAAGTGACTTGCTGCACATAGCACCTTATCCACATGGACTTACTCCCCGGATAGCAAAAGAGTCCAACCATTTCCTCGTTCCTGGTACTCATTGTAAAAGTTGGTGGACCATGAGACTGTTTTCGTTGGTTTTTGTTATTAGCTTCGTGGCCTTTGGCGCCGAGGCACGGCGTGATGGATACCGGTACCTTCGTGATTCTAGCTTTTCCATCCTGAGTGAAATCCCGCGGAGGCTGCAGGATCAGTCCGAGAGAAACGTGGACACGATCAATCAAGCAGCCGCTGATAGTCTTCCCACTATCAACAGCGAAGTGCAAGCCAATATCGAAGACCCGAGTAAGAGCTGCGAAGTCGTGATTGTTTTGTTTTTGTACTTGCATCTTTTCCACCAAGCAAATTCTCAAAATTCCCTTGTTCCTTTTATGGTAAAGAGACCATTGGCTACACTGTTACTATAAACCCAGGCACAACGTGCTCGAGCGGGGCCGTATCGGCATCGTAAGCTCGCGAGATCGTGGAGTTGTTGTTCGTTATTCGTTATTCGTTGTCTAACTTTGCTTGGTTTTGTTTTCGTCCAATCAGGGTCACCTTGGATGTCATTTCTGGGCAGAGCACCACAGAGATTACAAGCCTCACCGTGCAGGAAGGCACCGAAAGCGTGGGCTCGTGCCCCACAACCTTCAGTACGTACATGTACAAAGACTCGTTTACCGACAGATTGATGCAGCAGCACCGATACACTATTGATAGTATCTTGCTGACAAACTCAATTTTTCCCTACAACTTTTAGGCGGGACCTTTAATTTCGTCATGTCTGCATCTTTCTACACAGTGACCGGGCCAGCTGTCTTCTCTACCGTTGGAGATACCTGCACTGCACTGTCCACAACATACAGCTCTACGGTCAACAAACCCGTTCTCACCGGTGAAGTTACCATGAGTGGAACCATCGATGGCGACAAGTTGAGCGTCGACTCTGCTAGCGTAGGTTCCATTTCTGCCACATGTGTAAGAGAGTGCTACCGTAGTATTTGTGTTGGCTGTACCGGTGTCGTGGCGGCTGGGCTGCGATCTTTTCAACTCTAACGACACCTTCCTCGTTCACTTCTGCGGCTGTCTTCAGGACAACACGACGGTATCCATTTCTGGGCTTTCCGGCTCAACGGATTACTCGAGTTCGGAAACCCTAGTGTCAACTGATATTGGAACCGAAGTCAAGAACTACGTTTCCGGGAATCTCACAACTCTGATCCAAAGTGCTCTCGATACCGGCATTGAGCAAACAATCGTAGAATGGGGCTTTCAAAGGAGCGCCCACTACATCACCACATTTGCAAGGGCCAGTTTCGGCCAAACCGTGCGATCGTTCTTGTTTGGTGATGGTGGAGGCAGGCTTCTCCTATAAACAAGCCACGGTGATAAGCGTACCGTACCAGGTACTTGCACTTGAGGACTGCAATGGCTGCAGCTCGATCGATGACTGCTGGAGTCGTCGAGTGAGTCAGTCGCATTCTTTGGCTGCTGGATTGCAAACAGTGAAATAGATTTCTCCCTGTACCATTGTAGTCTAGTCAAGAGAAACTTAGCAATCCCGTACCGTTTTGACTCTCGTAGATTATCCCGTGTTCTTCTCGAGGCGAATGGCTGTAGTAGGGGCGGTGCACGACAGGATGAGTGCTGGAAGTAAGCAGGAGTGGCTATCATCACAGCAACCCAGCCTGAACCATGAAGACTGGGGCGTTGAACATGCATGCACGAAAAGAAATATCAAATGTCAATACCACGGTTTGCTTGGTTTTTCCACGGGGCCAGCTGTTGCCATCAAGTACGAGACTAGCTAGCTGACTGGTGTGACGCTCGTTCCTTTCTTAGACGCCCTTGTCGAGCTCGCTCGTTGTTCTACGGTACATGAAGCCACATGTCGTATTCGAGGCCTGCAAGCAATCCTCAGCGAACGACCACTGAACTAGAGTTCATGTAGTCAGCAAGACGAGCGACCAAGCAGCCGCTGTAGTTCACGGACCTCTCTGCTGGGTTCGGACCCAGAGTTATGCTCATCTGGCTACCGTACGGGTAACGGTAGAATAGAATAGAAAAATAGAATCTGGACGGGCCAAAGCCTTTGCTCCTAGCTAGCAAGCTAGTAGGCAGCTAGCTACAAGCCTCAATGTTCTGCTGCTTCCTCCTTTGGCTGCAGGCAGTTTGGAGTTCAAGAATGGATCAATCAGTGGCGATTGAGTATCTTCCTTCCGTCAGAACTGCTGGTTCTTGAATGACTGGGTGAGGCGAGGACAAGGACTTGTTCCCTCTGTGCACTGCGAACTGTATAGGGCAAGCTCTGCAGTTCCATCATACCGTTACTACTAGTACAGCATGTCCATGTAAATGCCTTGCTTCCGAACAGAACTGTTCCTGGCTTGGCTCGGACTTGGGATCTTGGGATGGATGAGTGCATGACATTGTAGCAAAGTAAAAAGATAGATGGTTGGAGACGAACCTTGGACATGGGCCACCGTAGAAGCCTCCGTACACAGTCCATGATGACGACGGGGAGGGCCTGCATTCTTTGGCAACTGCTGGATCATGCACAATGTCATGCCATCATGCCACATGTGTGGGCACATGTGGAAGATGAATAGAGGAGTGCAAGGAGGAACCAAGAACAAGCAGATAATCCCGTGAGGGACAAGAAAGACTGTAGTACTACCCTGCGTACTCCGAGCACGGTGCCGGTATCGGAGCTAGCTAGAATCTGGGTCGGAGAACAGATCCACTACTGTAGTCTAGTTGTAGCCAACTTTCGTGGCAATTGATTGAGCTGTGTGGACTACCGGTACTAGTACTCGTAAGAGTGACAGTCTTCATGCCAACCCCGGATTTAGAATTGGAATTCATCTCCGAGTTGAAGTCAGTTGCAATTGAAGGCATCCCTTCTTCCTTGACTTCCTTCTCTAGAGCTGGCTCGCTACCGTACATGTAGTACTCCTAGCTTGACTACTAGCCTAGTACTCTGAGTAGCTAGTACTTTGCAGTATCGAAAAGAGGGTACAACAAGTACTGGATGGAACAGGAGGATCAACGAAAGAGGCGAACGGACCTGTTCACTGAATACGTGTGAAGTACTACCTGGTACCGGCACCGTAGCTACTGGTACCGACCAACCCGCCACAGCAGCAGCCGTTACAAATAAGAATTCACGGAGTTCTTTAGTTAGACTAATCCACGTACTAGTAGAATGTCATCGTAACGAGTACACGTACTCGAGTACTCAGTACTTTCTAGCAGCCGAAGCCAGAGTACAGCCCTGGCACAATCTTACTGTAGGAGTATCTTTTAGTTATTTATAATCCGAACAAAGGGCAGGGCAGGTACAGAGTACAGCTACAGTACACTGTATTCAATGTACCAGAGAGCAGAGAGCTTTATGTAAGATAAAATTACCTTTTAAAGCACAAGTTGAAGGCGAAATGGCGGACAGGCTAGTGGCTTCCAGTGGTTGACTTGACTACTGACTACTACTCTGAGTACTAGAGGAGTAATTAAGCAAGTCACTAAGATAAGACAAGGATGAGCGCTTTTGAGCAGCTTTTGTCACCTTTGGTGGTGACCTTTTAGTTTTCCAGCAAGCCAGCAAGCGTGCAAGAACAACATCGACTGACTTTGGCGACTCGATAGTAGAAATACTGATAGTAGAGTGACTGTAATGACCGTAGACAAAGAAGACTAAAGAAATCCAAGAAGCGGGAGCAGATTTTACTTATGACTTTGCCGACACGGGATTGTCAAAACTCCGAGTATTCTGCTTTTAGTACAGTGTAGAGAACAATCGGTGAAACTTCTAGACTATCTCCTCCGTTCGAGAGATTGTGCGGAGAATTACGAACACCAAGCTACGCTGCGGCTGGGTGACTGTGCTTGATCTGGGCGGAGAGACGAGCACTAAAAGAAAAGAAAAGTGACTTTGGCTCACAATTCCAAAAGCTACACTTAGCAAAAGCCAAGCAAAAGCCAAGTAAAGCATTCAAGCAAGTTTCTTTGACCAACCAACCAACCATGAGCTCTCTCTGCACGACAGCAAGCCCCGTCCCTAGTACTAGCACTAGCAGCCGCAAACGCAAGGTAGAGTTTTCATCTCTGAGCGAGAAAGAAGCGCGTGAACACAAACGCGCCATCAGCCGCCGCAGTTCTCAGCGCCATCGTCAACGTGAACGAATGGCCATTGAAGATTGCCAGGAGAAAAAGACAAAATTGGAAAAAGACAATCAGACGCTCAAAGCGGAAAATGAGTCCTTTAGGTCCATGATTCAAATGCTCAAGCAGAAGCAGCAGCACAAGCAGCCACAAAAGCTTAGTGTTGCTGGTAGTGTTGCTGCTAGTATTAGTGCTGCTTGTGCTGCTAGTACTAATTGTACTGACCCCCGTGTACTGCTGGCCAACCAGATTCAAGCTCAGAAGCAGCAGCAGCAGAACTTGCACCAGCAGAACTTGCAGCTCCTCACCCAGCGTGCCCTAGTAGGTACAGGTAGAGGTACAGGTACAGGTACAGGTACAGGTAGCTTTGCAACTGCCAGTCTTCGCCAGTTCTCCAACGAGGAACTCATGGAAGCACTCATCGCCAAGCGCCTCAAGCAGCAAGAGCAGTCACCTGCCATGGTCACGTCAGTCTCGGTCACCCCTCCTCCTACTTCCCCCTCTCCTCCACATATTACTTCTCGTCCACAACTTATGAGTAATAATACAAGTGCAAGTGCAAGTGCAAGTGCTGCTCATCACCTATTGCACCCATCCTATGGATACGCAAACTCGGGCTTTTCCGCTTTCAACCCCCACCAGACTGCCTTTTTGCCTGCTGCTTTCTCTTCCCACCATGCTGCCAACACCAATATGAATACCAACACCAGCGTCTTTGCCGCCGCCACAGCTGCCAATAACCGAAACATTGAACTACTCAGGCTACTCGCCGCTACCAATCAAGTATAGACATGCTGTCAAGTGCCCAAGAAAGCAAGAAGAACATCAACAAGTTGGACTGGACTGGACTGGACTGAATTGATTCCCCTGTTTGCCCGTGTTGCATATGACAAAGTACATGTAACTTTATGATTCTAAAAACTCATGCACATACAACTCCAGCCATTATAATTCGCTAGACTACGGTATCTAGCTATACCGTACCGGTACTAGTAGTACTGGTGTTGATTCTTTTTTTCTCTTCTCAATGCAGGCTTACCGCTACGGTACAGCCGACAGATTACTGTCTAGCTAGTTAGCCGCAGTACCGTAGCAACACTTGAAAAAGGTTTTCTATATGCATACATCTACATGCATAAAGCCAACGAAAGATAGATGTAGAGGCTGACTTTCGACAGCTCTTTCGACCCACTCGGCTCTGTTGCTGGTTCTGTTCTGGATCACATTCGATTCTGTTTGTGTTGCCAACCATATGGATGCACTCCTTTTACTGATGAAAGGTCCAGTTCTCATACTTGAATCGGATCGGATCTTATCTTGCGCGTAATCAAGATATAAGGCGACAAAAATTAATGACTTAATCCTCAAGCATGAAATGAAACCTGAAAAGACAATAGAATCTTTAGAAACTTTTGTGGCCAACGCCATTCTCGGTACATACACAGTACTAGTAGTAGCCCGCGACCTCTACATCAGTGGCCACACTGGCACACACTTGCTACTTTGGGATCGAGCGTTGTCAGTGTGCGTGTCAGTGGCTCGGGGAATAATAACTGTGTGAACATGAGGAGACCCTGTACCGTACCGCTATAGGTGTGCATGGCTGATCATGAACAAAAATTGTCAGAATATGATACTAGCTAGTAGGCAAGTTTGGCTGTTTTTTCCCTTCATACCGTACCGGTAGCTGTCTGCCTTGTTGGAAAGGCTGGCCATAAGGCTGCAACCCCTGCCTCCAGCAAGAAACAAAGGCGTAAAGACTCACAAAAGTGCCCTGTTGGCTGGTTTTTCTTTGTCTAAAGGGCAGCGAAAAAATACAATATTGTAGTAAAGTAATCCAAGCCACTTTCAACTGGAGCGAGGCAACAGATCTATTGCAGTACCAGTAGCTATTACAGTATTGAAAGCCTTTCTTCGCTCCGGACAGAATCGTTCCGCCTTCACTTGTCCCCGTTTTCTCATCTTTATTCAACACACGCACCGAGCGCAACTATTTTAAAACACACTTGCTCTGAACTAAATTAGCAAACTTGTACATTTTCCTAAAATGTTTGTATAGCTAGATCTAAGTGAAGTACTCTAGCTAGCTACATGTACTATTAATAGCCAGCACCAGGTACCAGGTATATGAGTTTCTTCATGATGTCCTTCTTCCAGTGATAAAGTCCATGTTCTTGGCAAAAGTTCCAATTCGCTCTTGAAAGAATCGGGTGACCACTCCAGTTTGTCCAGCTTCTACTTCCTCCTCGTAGCTTTGACGGCGCTGCTGGATCCATCCAATCAGATCATTCTGAACGTCAGTACTCGAATGGCTACGACCTTGATCTCCTGCCGAATCCTCGTCTTCTTGTTCTAGTACCGGTAGGTCATCATCTACGAGCAAGCTATTCTTGGCATTGCACTTATTAATAGCGCCGCCCTTAGTGCTCGAGTGTCGAAAGGACATGGCAATGTCGGCCATGCTCTTAAAGTCCATCGACTGGAACATGCTGCGTTTTCCCCGTGTATGGGTGATACCGGTACCGGTACTACTGGCCGTTGCCGCGTTGCCTGAAGTTCCTCGAAAACTCCAGAGCGCGGGATCTTCGTCTTCCTCGAGTCCAGGTCCAGCGCCTGTACTGCTAAGACCAACACCAACACGATGATCTATCACATACAGTGACATCATCAACAGTTTTGCTTTGGCGCCTTTCTTGAGGTTCAGCCAAACAAAAGAAATCAAACTCAGATAAATAAATGAGGTCCCGCTGCAGATATCGGATATCGGATCCAACCGCATCATCTACAGTGAGAAAAGATAAAACCAGCACCCTAACCGATTGGGTTAAAGCTAGTGAGGTTGTAAAGTCCATCAACTCAAAACTGGTGTGTTGCCCGGGTTTGTATGGATAGTACAGTACCTAGCTAGATACTGGCTCCTAAAGACAACCGGGGTACTAATCATCTACTTTACTATGCTTCAAACTGAATTGAGCTCAATGGAAGCTTTCCTTACTGCTATTAATAGCTAATGGTAGACGTATAGAACATACAAGCAAGGCAATCTCGTCTGGCTGATCTGGCTTCCAGAAACGAAGATGCGTGATTTCCAGGGATTGCATTGAATCCCATCTCGATGATCATGATCATGATCATGGTGCACTTCCCTCCTAACCAAAGAACACGGCAAGCCCCATCACTGCCATGAGAACCATTGTAACACCATGGGAAAGGGAACCGGCAGTCTCAATCGTGACACTGCAATCAAGACCAATATCTGAGTACACCTTATTCACACTCTCCACAACGTCCTCTTGAGCTTTCTTCAAAGCATCGCCATCACACTCCTTTGTCTGGCAGTACGGAATATTCTTAGCCTCAACCGTCTTGCCAGCGCAAGTAGTAGACTCCGACTGTTGCACGAACGTGGCATCCGTCACTGCAGACATAATGAGAGATCACAAATCAGCCAACGTTAGACTAGTTAGGCCAAGCCAAGTCAAACTTTTACTGACACCAGCAACGCTACATCCAAGTCAACAATTACTCACAATTGCTGCAGTCTGATTCCAACTGCTTGGACGCAGGGAACTCGGCAAAGTCAACACTGCACGTGCTATCTGTGCAGTTGGTCACCGCAGATTCCAACAAAGGATTGAACTCCTCCACACTGAGGACGACACACACGGAATCCGAAGACACAGATGCAACACTAAGGAGCATCAATGCTGCAATGGATCGGAGGGCGGTCATCATCTTGCTTTGTTGGCTTTGCTTTGATAAAGTACTCTTGTTCTGACGCTTTTCCCGGAATTGTAAGATGGAATGAACCAACAACACAGTACCGGTACGTAGGCAACCAAACTTCCAAACATATTTCAACATGGTCGATCCTCGCCATCCCTTCATACAACGGGATGATGAGGAACAAGTAAATTTGGTGTGGAAATTTCAAAGATTACACAAATTTGGGGCTACTTCCCCTTTTTGTTCTCCTGAATCGTCGAAAAGATTTATGCATGGGCAGCATGTGGATAATTAGTTAGGGAACCAAGCACGTGGCTGACTTAACTCAGCCAAAAGGCGATCACGTGGCCAAATATGGCGATGCCTTCAATTTGGCTATGCGTACGGTACTGTAGGTCGCGCTTGGGTGGAAGCTGACTGCTACCGGTACATGTACCTGTAGTTCGATGATTGCTGGTGCTGATGTTGCTATGCCCGCACCCAGCTAGCTAGCTAGCTATGCCAACAACTCCTTTAGACTTCTTTGGTTGCTGGCTGGTTGGTTGGAAAGTAGCTGGCAGGTGTTCATGGTGCAAGCGCAATCGAGAGTTGTTCACGTTTCGATTGCTTCTTCAAAGTTAGTTGCTTTCTCCGCTCTTTTTGGAGAGAAGTTGCCTGGAAATTATCAGGAGGAGCTGACGGTACAGGCAATGACGCAAGACAGTCCAAATGCCAGCATGAGGGATCAATGTTGTTCGGAGAAGAGGTCAGACAGACTGCCGTCATTGGTCAAAGTCAAGAACGGCGAGTGCCGCCAAGTTGGAGGTTGGCTTCGCTTCACTAGCTAGCTATGGTAGCTGCTTACTTGCCTAAGCTTGGGTTTCGAAGTCGCTTTCTAGCTAGGTCACCCCCAAGTAGTACCATCTGGCCGTCCTTTGCACAACTCCGTTGACCTTGTTACAAACGATTTCAAAGGCTCCCTCCTTTTCGGGTTAGCTACAGGAAGGGAGGACATCATCCACAGCAAAGTGGGCCTCCTCTCCAAAGACTTGCCACAGTCCCAGTTATTTCAAACCGCTCTTAGCTATTAATAGGATGATGCACTCTCTAGTGGATGGTGTACTTTGATTGTTATCTGCCTGCCATGAAACTTGAAAAATAGATTTGCAAGCGATCCAGTTCCATCTTGTTTACATGTAGCTCCACCCAATTGCACGGTGGGAACTCATGGTGCATCTCTCACCTGCTTCAAAGGTCGCCGCCATCACAAGGAAGTTTCGTTTGCACCAGAATGCTCTAAATAAACTAGATCTTAGTATGTGTACATGTAGTGCAGTGTCTCCATCTAGCTAGCTTTTATGTTTGGCAGTGTGTCTTGTTTCAATAATATATGCACTATATATGATATGTATGGATTACTTCTAAAGTTGGAATAATATGGAAGTCAAGTGTATCCCTGCAGCCGTGTACGGTACATTTAAAGTATCTGTTCCACTCGTTGGATGGCTTGAGATTAGACAGCGGCAATGGATCCGGAGGAACAGTCCATTTCTGGATGGATGTAAGCAGGTGCCGGTACGGAAGTTTGCCGGAGCATGGCGACGTAGTCTCGAGCCCGGGCGGTTCGAGCAGCTGCAGCCAAATGCTGGTCTTGTGCGACTGCGACTGCTTCGACAATGGGTCTTGGTTCAAAGGGATTGCCTTGCTGGTCGTCCATGGCCACGAGTGTGCACAAGCGTTCGAAGCAAGTGGGATCGTAGTAGTTCGAGTGGCACTGCGGTGGAACTTGCATTTGGGCTTGTACGGTGCCATCAATGGACACGACACGAGGAAGGTTGAGGCTTGGAGGAGGAGGGACAGAGAAGGGCAGTTGCAAGTGAGCCGTCTGAAGAGGAAGCATTCCTTGTGAGGCTTGTTTCTCTAGAAGACGCTTAGCTTGCTTGCTCTGTTTGCTAGAACGGTATCCTTGCAGGAGGTCCCGGAAGGCTTGACCAACGGCCGACCGGGCCATGGCTTCTTCGAGTTGCAACCAACGACCGTTGGCCTTGTCGAACTTGACGAATCCGATCTTAGACTTGGCTCGAATAGTGGAAACGACCGACACGATGATATCCGTCTTGAGTTCGCGCGTCGACGACGCGGCCGTGTAACGACCCGCGTTGCGCTGGACCAGGTCTCGGAGTCGACGATTCCCGGGGTGGTTCTTCACTTGACGACCACGACCAATGATCACTGTGTGAGCACATGGTTGGTAGTCTTCAGATAGAAGGCTTGAAGAGGAGGGACCGTTGATAGGTGCTGATGAACTCATCTTGCTTTTCGATTTCGTAAAAAATTTAATAGAATAGTTGGTGGTGCTTGTGGTACGAGTACTAGTACGGTAGTAACGTAACGTAGAATAGCTAGCTGTTTGAAGCTTCGAAGTCGAGGAGGCTTTGCGATTTGGCTGAATTGAAAAAGTGAGGAGAACTTGTATCTGATTGCTGACCCAAGCTTCACAAGGAGAAGATAATCCGCGAGCAAAGCAAAAGCTGAGCACTGTTGCGTGTTGCGACTCGTTAGCCAAAACGGTACTGGAACCAGAGAAACAAATCACAGAACTCCACTTCTTCTAGTCTCGCTGGGTTCTTGATGGCCAAAACAAATACACTAAACTTGATAGTCAAATCCAGATCCCAGCTGATCACCACCTCAGCAAGAAAGGAATCCTTTACAGTGAACATTCTGTACTGTAGACCAATATGACACGACATGTAACGAAGATCTAGCGAAACGCTAAGCTTATATCCAGAGTCTCCTGCCGTCTCAAAAACCATCTAACACCGCATCACCGTTCGATTCTACCCGAATCTTCCCTTTATGTGCCATAATGCTGCAGCTCAATGAAAACCACCAATGTTCGCTACGTTCACCTCCGGGGAAACAAGGTCACTCGCTGTGGCGATTATTATCCGAAATCGGTAATGGCTTACTCTGTCTGAAGCGTCCATCAAATAAATTACCTCCACCTCCCTCTTGTCAAAGTACTGACATTATTGTCTTTATTTGGAATTTATATCGACACATTGACCCTACTAGTATTTTATGAATGAGAAACCTATAAAAAGAGTATTATGAACCTTTATTGACGAATACAGTACAATACTTTGTTTGCTGCAGCAAAACATTTGGGTGGTGGGGGATATGAAAAGAAACCAACCAACGAAAGGAAGGCTGGTGCACCCCCTTCCCCCTTGGCAACAGAACGCTTCTCCACGATATACAGCTGTACCGTGGCGCAGCTGTATTGAGCTATGATACGGCAGTCGGAGAAATTTCTACTCTATTCTGAGTACTGAGTAGTGTCTCTACTTCTCTACAATGGTCTCTACAATGTCGTGTGGATATTGGATACTGAAAGCAGATGGTACGATGGTGCAGTACTGGTCTCACATTCATAGGGGGTACTGTACCGGTAGCTACTACATGTATGTAGTCTAGTATGCTGAGGTCGAACGACGCTAGTACTGTAGTGGTACGGTACTCTACTGAGGCCAAGACCATCTATCGATGATGGCTACGTACACTGTAGTAGCTAGTGTCTACTCGAGTAGTCTAGCTAGCTAGTGGAGCTGGATATGATAGCCACAGCTTCTGCCACAGCTTAGCTCGAGACACTTGGGGCAAGCGCAGGGTGGCACAGTATGACAGTATGAGCGGCAAAAAGCAGTGCATTGACCCCAAGAGGCGCAACGGAACTACCGGTTCTACACCATAGCCTACGGTACAGTGGTACACATATCCAACACGTAACAATGTCATGTGAGACAGTTTTCGCAAGAGCCTCAGAAACTAACTCATCACAGAAAGCAAACCATGAAGCGGCGAACTCCCAGTACCGCTTCTTTTGATGCCACGATGCAACAGACAAGAGCTTAATTAAAACTGGCTTCATGTCCAGGACTTGACTGGAAGAGTTCCTTTCTCCCTGGTGCTTCGGCGTACGGTACGTCTACTAGCTAGTATGAGACCATGAGATCATGGGATAGATTTGATCTCCCGGTTGTTACAATGCATGGTACGCTTTGGCACCGTTCTGGACAACTGAACTGATCTGGTCTTAAAGTACCAGTAGGCAAGACCAACAGCCATCAGCTTTCGCAATCAAGAGCATAATATTATCTAGCTAGCTAATGCAATCGGTGATCCAAAAGGAGTTGCTGATGTCTCGAGTTGCTTTATCCACTACATGTACCACCATTCCAAGATGCATGTAACCGCACCGGCACCTATGGCTATGTCACTAGCCACTACCGGTATGGGATGCTTCTCTACTCCGAATTCTCCATCCTGCCAAAGCCAAGTAAGTAAGTAGACTGAGTCTTCCAAAACAAATAATGTCAGGCTGCTGACCATGCAGTCGCAGGTCCTGCGACTGCCAAGACCCAGGTGGCCTTCTTTTGGCGCAAAGGCAACCGGTGTACATGTACTAATCGTCAAAGCGTCAACCATCCAGTTTGGCAGTTTGGAAAGCAGTGCTCCACAGGTGCGCACCCGTACCACCCTGCCAGAAGTAGCCAGAGGTGGATACCGCACACCACGTAGTTGAAAGCAACTTGAACTAGCCTGCTGCCAAAGATAGATTGCTTCCCTCGTCGTTCCTTCTTGCCAGCCGGAGAGCTGAGGACTACAGGATGCTTGCTTTGATCCACTGCTAAGCCAAGCGAATCTTTGGTTTTGACTCGTCTCCATCCTTCATCCAATCATTCATTCCCCGGGGATTGTATTGCATGCCTCAACCTCTCAGCTTCGGGCTGCACGCACGGTATCAAGCAGTTTAACGGGCTCGTGAAAGCCAGCAAAACTAAAAATTTCCCTGCGAAAGATCCCACAGGTTCTTCAAAGTTCCGAGACCAGCATTTTGTTGAAGTCATCTTTGCTGGGTTTTTGTGCCTTAACACTTGTAATCAAAAAGTTCGCTCTTGCCGGTCCTCTCTACACAGCAGGTAAGTTTGGATACCGGTTAGTAGATCTTTGTTCCTTTGCGGTTCTGCTCACAATTTCCCCCAAAACACAAACAAACCAAAACACAGCAACTCAACCAAAATCCCACCTGATACTGGTACCCAAAAATGATTGGCAGCACCCTCTCTATCCAACCTGACACTCTTATTGAATGCACAGTGATTAGACCCACTCGTCGTCTGTCTGACTTTGTGACTGGCTTGAGTAGCCGTAGACTTACCCTCTTGCCATCAGCAAACACTTCAAACAGCATCCGTTCTCTTGACAGCTCTAGTAGCTCCATCAGAAAGAAAAGAGTCAGATTTGGTTCCATCTTGGAAGAGAAACATGAGTATCCCGCAGCTGCCTCTCTGACCCACAAGAGTGACTTGTGGTACCCCATGGGGGAACTGCAAGAGAGCGTTGCCGCAGACATTGACAGTCTTCACTTTTACCAGTACCAACAGAGGTTTCAAGCACCAGGTGAAGCGTCTGAGCCTGAGCCTGATTCAGACGAACTTTCAACAACCGTGGAACAAAGGGGTCTGGAATTCTACATGGAGGATCAGATACATAGAAGACACTCAGTGAGGCACTACGTTCACATGGTAATTATGAAGTCTCGACAGAGCCCCACCGCCAAGAGGTTCTCTTTAGTCAAGGGAAGCAGCAACGTGAGCACCAGCAGTACCGATAGCGTCACCCGCTATTCCTTGCAATTTACAGCCCATGCCAAGGATGTGGCATTCAGGCAGGCCATGGAAGACGAAGTTGACGCGCGTAGAATCTATCTAGCTGACGGCACCGTCCAAAGTTCCACCGATTTTGCGGCAAAGAGTACAGAATCACTCAAGAGAAAAGCCATGGAAGCTACTGCAGGGCCACGAAGCTCCATCACTGCCATGTCGGCATGAATGGAATCATCACGCACGTCTTTGTAATTCTCTAAGAAACTTTTTGTGAAACTCAGCTCTTGCACAGTACCCGTAATACTTTAGAAAGGCAGCACCGGCCATAAGATATCATCAGAATTGAAAGGTTGCTCTGAGCCTCAACAACGAGGCACGGGAATATATTGCATTTGGTATCCCGGCAGTCAATCACAGAAAGAAAACCGGCAACTCCAGAATGTTGACAACAATCTATCTTTCTGCCGGTCTAATTAGTAAAGTTCGTAGAAGAAAGAGAAAATTACATCCGGACTGAGAGTCGAGTCAGCGTCTTTTATCCTCAACACAGTCTTTAAAACTACCATAGTTGCCACGTTCATTGCATTTTCATTCGCCACTTTGCTGCCAAGGATCGTTTCGTTTCGTGTGTTGGCAAATAGCTTGACGTCATTCTCTTCTACCAAATCTCGAATATCAATCCATTCGATAGTGCCGTTGTCCATTCGTCCATCAATCGGGGCACGGTTGGATTCCCCGTTATGGTGGCCAATTAGCTGAGTCGAGTGCAGCCAGAGTCCGCATCGGGGGCTTTCTTCAAATAATTCACATAAGTCGCGGCAAGGTAAGCCATCGTCGTAATGCCCATCTCCTTGATGTACGCCAAATGCATTCGGACGGTTGCAAGCATGGCCCCCGCAGTGCAGGTCTTGGCGAGTTCTCCGTACTGTATACAGTCATTGGACAACCAGCTGTAATGGACTTCCAACATTCCACACTCATGGCGCGAACAGTTTGACTGGCAATCTCCCGTACGGCACCGGTACTGGCGCTGAAAGTCTGAAAGTCATCCGTCCGAGGATCCGTACTGGCGTCTCAACGCATCTGCCATTTCGTGACCGCGATCCCAAAAGAAAATTGTATGTGCTGCGTAGCCCACGTCCCCGGCAAAGGCCTGGATGGGTACCTTTACCGTACCAGCTGCGCGCCAAGATGAGCGTGACTTAGCTATTCCATTTTTACGACGGATTGGGAAACAATGTGGCTTGGTCGGTACCAATTTCGGCCAACATGGATCCACCCACCAGAGTCGCTTCCAACCCTTTGATAATTTCGTTTTGATGCGAAATGGACTTTTGGGTTCCTGAGATGTGTACTACACGAGCACCTGGACCGAATGAGGGTCATATGGGATGTTGGCTGTCTTCAAATCTTCGTCGCCCAAAACGTTCATGGTGATCCGATCCAAGGCCTTGACACACGACTCCAAGCCCCCATGAACAACAACGGATTCGATGTTCAAGTTCTGCTCTTGCTTCTTGGCGTCTAGCCGCTCTGCGGTTCCAACCATGGAATCTTTTGGCCGTTGTCCTTGCCAGCGAAGCCTTGGACCATCTTCTTGCACATGTTTCAGAGGCCAATGATGGCAATGCTTTGAAGCGAGTTGCGCTTTTACTTCTATTTGAGTGGTTTTCTGTAAAGGTATCTGCAAGGGTTTCACGAGGTTGAGAGCCCTTCATCTTAGCCGTCTTGGTGGTACCAGACCGTGGCGCTGGTACTGAGCTCCGAAGAACAGAGCCCACCTTGATACATACAACTGGCTGGTACCGGTATGGTGTAGATTCAGTTGAACATTTGTGTTCGGTACCGGTAGTTCTAATGACTAAAATGAAATATTCAATTACATAATTGTAAACATTGAATTTCAGTCTTGGTTAGTGATTTTATTTAGTCTTGAGAATCATTTATTTCGACATTGTTTGGCGAAAATTGAGTCACGGATCTCGGGGATCCAAGCCAAGCTCCAAAAGATTTGAAGAGATCCAGGCCAGAGCACCAAGATCGCCGGTGACAGGAGGCATGGATCTCGGCCACCCGAGATACATGTATCCAGCCACCCAGCTGAGATCCAAGAACGCCAACGCACTAGCACTGTTTTGAAGGCTCAGCACTGAATACCGATGGTAAACAGGAGAGAAATCCAAGCTTGACCGACAAGAGTGGTTAGGTGGAGTCCTTTATCCAATCGATCGAGCGATCGCTATGAGGTCCCATGTAAGCCAATGTTCAAGCAAGCCTGTGATTGAAGGTGCATAACTGAAAGCAATCCTTCAGTTACTTCTCTGGTATGGACCACGGGAAGGCAGTCAGATCTCGGCCGCAGTAAGTTCTTTAGGCAAGCCAATCGATCGGTCGCACCGTCGCACCTCCACTATGCATATGATCATACCGGTACCGGTATCAAGCGCTCCAGTGGAGAACAAAAAGCCATCCTCATTGAAATCATACCAGTTCGGGAAGGTTTTCTTTTCTCGGCTCATGTTGGAGAATAGCAAGGGTATCGGTAAGTATGCATATGCATATGTCTCCGCTTTCCCTTCCGCCGCTGGTAGCTTAGCTTCCCCTCGCTCCTTAGCGTATCTATTTAGTATTCATTTTTCTCTCTAGTTTTCAGCCAATCTCCGGTAATTCTGGATCTCGGTCCAACAGCTGTCAAACTCATATCTCGGAGGATCTTTGCCGAGATATCCAAGGTTGCCGAGATCCATCAAAGATCCTCCGAGATTGACGGGATCCAAACCAAGATCCCATATACGTGTCATCCAAAACGTAATTGATAATACAGTCTTGGAAATGATTTATTTTGGATAATATAATTTTGAAGTACCGTTCTGAAACAAATCTTCTTTTTTTATATTCTGTTTTCCCAAATTTGCTTTACGGGCCGACACCAAAGCACAACGAGGTTTCCGGGGACTGGAAGCACGGAGGACAGGCTCATGGGGACAGCGGACAGCTATCTCATCATGGCGCGGCTGCTGGCGAGCTACCGGTATCCTTAGCCCGCCCAACGATCAGCCTTCGTGCGGCCGGTATTGAACTGTTGCTAGCTACATGTAGAGTCGAAACTATGCATACTTGCTGTTTCAAAATAGGGGTATGGTCAACTTATTGCTTATGCTTTCTTTGTTACTACTTTTGCTTCCGCTCTACAAACACCACGCAAGCAAAATGTTGCCAAGCAATAATAAATCATACATGTGGTACATGTACATGTACCGGTACAGTGCTAGTGTGCATTCCAAGGCCTCTTTCTGTCTCGTTTTAGGTCATCCACTGTCATCTGCCTTGTGGCTGTCTCTCCCAAAACAACGGACAAGAATCAATTGTCTGATCAGCAACTGATCTCTGCCTTTGATCGCACGGACCGAACGGATGGTTCCTCTGGCCATTGCATGCCGTCCCGGCTGGTACGGCTCCTTGAGGTACTACCGGTACAACTCGACGGAACATACAACAGGGCTGGTTCGGGAACGTATACTCGCGGCGCTGCCCTTGAGACACTAGGTCTGTGGCGGGCCGAACCGTCACCAGTAGACTGAGAGAGTTCCGTGCTACTGGCATGATTTGTGTTTGTGGACGTCGTGACCGTGACCGCCACCTTGTTGGAGATGGATTCCGGTTCCACGACATGGTCTGTGTTACCATTGGCCCCACATGGCGAGCAGATCCACGACCACCTTCGACGACGAGTCGCCCGTTTCTGCTGGGCGACTTGTTTTTCGTCGTCGCGACTTGCCATCGACAGCCTCCCGGAAGGAGGCTGGTAATTTTGAATCATGGCGCTGACCTCGTCCATCATGACATCTGTCCTGGACGTGGCAGTGTGGTGGCTGTTGATTCCACTCGTGAAAGATTGCTCGTCTTTGTCTTTGCTGTTCCTTGCAACTGACTTTTCTGGTGCTGACGACGACGACACAGTGCTCCGCTTACTGGAGGACCAAGGTGGTAGAGTGACACTGGAATCCTCTTGACTCACGATGCTGGGACGATCAGTAGCTTCGTGGTCTTCCTCCAAGGTTGGTACGCGAATCTCGTCGTAGGACCTGGTTCCTCGTCTTCGAGACTTGGTCTTGGGTGCAATCTGCTGCAAGGTGGTGTCCATAGTGAGTGCAGAGACCATGGACATGAGTTCATCCTTGTCCAATCCATGATGAAAGGCTTGACTGCCCACAGCGGAGGACCCGTCATCGTGAATGCTGACAACGGGAACAGAGTAAGACGTTTGCTCCTGATCCTCCGGGATCATGTTGCCTTGGATGATCCTGATCTTGCTGTGATGGCTCAAGGTCGTGTAGATACTTTCATCGTCCATTGTATAGAGGGATTTGCAGGCACTGTCCCATTCTCCAGCAGTGTCTTGCTGCTGCTGCTGCTGCCTGGAAGCCCAATCTCTCAGATCTTGAACACTAAAGGCGCTGTACTTGGAGATGTCGTCCATGTCATTCCCGTTTGTGACTGAAAACAAAGCGCTTTGAATGCTGCGGGTGGCGCAACTGCGATTCCCGCTGCTCTTCTTAGTAGTGTGATTGTAGCCGCGTCGACTGGCCGACATGGTGGATGTGGACGGTAAGCGGGGTGGAGCTCTTCTTCGGATCTGATCTCCGCCTGGAAAGGGCAAACTCACGATGGAGCTATCCATGGAAATCGTGGAGGCCATCTTCTAGTCTTTTGCAAAAAGTTCCAAGGCACGGGGCAAAATATGGTAGCTAAGGGAGGGTATAGGGGTAGCTTGGCAGTAGCAAAGGGTAGCTTACTATAAGGATAGTAGATACCTGTGTGATTTGAAACAAAAAAAGTTGAGATTATGAGAGCAAGAAAGAAGGCAAGAATGATTCCTGTCTGTACATGTATGTTGGCAATTGACAAGTACTAGCTAGCTACTAGCTAGTAGTGAGAACAAGAAACTGGTTTACATACCCTTCCAGCCTTAGCTTCCAAGAGGGCCTCAATCGAAAGCCCTCTTTCGACCAGGTTGTTGTGAAATTGTGAGCATCTCATTCGTTGCTTCACTGGATCCCTAGTACTGTTAGCTGTACCAACACACTAGATCATTTGTGCCTCAAGACGAGTCAAGACGTAAGATGATTGTGTTCTTTCAGCCATTGGTTATTGGTTACTTGCTTGGTTAAATATTTCTACACTTTCACACCTACTGTTTCAGCTATGAGTGAATGAAAGAATGATTGATTCATGAGGAATTATTGCGTTGACTATCAGTCGAGCCGATGTAGTGAAGTCTTACCACACTGATACAAAGAAGCAGGATTGAGGGTTCAGAGACTAGGTATTACTGCGTCGCTCCTTTCTTTTTGATAACCACTACCTACTAATTTGATGATACAAAATGTGCTGTACTAATTCATTAATGGGGCCATCATAATGGCCATTCGTGATTCAATGCCACTTCAGCTTACCGTACAAAGGGCAGGCCGTGCTCTCGTGTTGACACGAGTATTATTTACTCCCGACAGCCAGACCGAGGAGGCTCTTTACTTTCTGCGGTGCGGACATGGTTGGCAAGCACCAACATTACATGTATGCCACTTCCAGGCTCGTGCTGGGACTAAAATACTAGTTTGTTGGCAGGATAATGGCAACACAGCTTCCGGTCGCTTGATACCTGGTACCAGCTATGACAGCTACTATTTAGCATAAACTTGACGGCACCGCCGGAAGCCAGTTGTAACCTTTCAGCCCAAGGCCCAAGGAAGCGCCAGAGATTGCTTCTTGCTTGGTTGCCTACGATACTAGCTAGATCTAGAAAGCCATTCCTGCCTTGAGTCCATGACGGAGTTGCTTGGGTTGCGGCCGTTGCGGCGATGGCTAATTAACCTGGCCAAATGAATTGTACATGAATCGAATCAGAATCGAATCAGAATCTGTTTGCTCTCTGCTCTGACCACCAGCACACGCCGCCACTCTCTGCCATGGCTGCAGTTCTTCCAAAAAGGGGCGGCCACTAAGGTACTACGGTACTACGGTTTCAGTGCATGAGAGCATCCTTATCAAGACTAGTTGGTCTTGGGGTATATACCGATACCTGGCACAAAGCATACATTTGATCCAGTGGCTGGAATAGTCAATCCCACTGGCTCCTCACCAACTGGCTACTGAACTTAAGCTTCTTCTTGGTCTTGCAAACTTTGTGGTTTTGATCGGTGCGTCAACAGCAAAGCAAGGAAACATCGATCGTTGTGGTCTCTGTATTCGCGTCATGGCTTATTGACAACACTTCGATTGCTTCGATGTTAGTCACCAAGCTCAGCCTGCCTTTCTAGCAGCTAGTACGAGTGCCGAGATGTCAGGGGTCGCAGCATGTTCGGTCCAGTAGAATCGAATCTGATCATCGGAGGATCTCAGCACTGCATCACGTTCTTCAGACGAGGCAATCCATTCAGTTTGCCAAGAAGTATGCGTGCGGTCGCGGATATCTGTCGACCAACTTTTAAAAAAGTTGTTTGGCGAGATTGAATCGTTCAGAGCCAATGTTAACATGCATGGTGAAGTCATCCGGACGAGGCAGGGGAATTAGGTGCGAGGCAAGCCACTACCCCGGCCATCCTGGCTGCAAATAATGTCGGCATGTAGCGAGAATTGATACAGCACAACCCCGATGCTCCTGGTGCCCCCGTGAGAACAGAAAAAACGACATGCCAAAGATACTAGTACTAAAGACAACTTCATCGTTCCTCACAATTTTTGTAGTTCAGCCTCACTGAAGCTTTAAGCAATGCACTTGCAGCGACGGGTCTGCATTCGACAAGACAGCCTCGGCTGCTGTCACCATCATCACAAGTAGGGACGTTGTCTACAGACGGTTGTACCATACGGTACGGTACCGTAGTAGTGAGGAGCATGTGGATCCGAGCCAAGCCCAGCGATTGCATGTGGCAGTATTTGGGCTTTAGAAAGGAGGCGTCTTCCTTTCCAGAGATTCGATTCGATTCTATTCGATTCAAGCTTGCCGGAAGGTGTCAATGTGCCGCACAAGCAAGGAGCAATTTCGCGTCTTCTTCTTTTCCCAAGCCTGGCCCTCGCTGTGCAGAAGACTGTGGCACCAGTTTTGATGCCCTGCTTTATGAAGCCGTCTTCTTGCGTCGGATGAGAGAGACCAGAGAGACGAATGGAAGAATCAATCGAGATGCCAAAAGTTGACAAACTCTGGAAGCACTGACATTGCTACCGGTAGCTTTTGCCGGCCAAAAACGTGCAGCTGCGAGAGATCACAGCAAGCCAATAGGACAGCAAGGCTGGGAAACAGAGAATCCTAAGAGACAAGTAGACGGAACATGTAGTGTATTATATGAATCATGATAGGAAGGTAGGGAAGCAATAAAGAGCCACTGATCTGCAGTGGTAGGCACAGTTCAAAGTGTAGAATGGAGGTGGCGGACATGGGGGGACTCCTGGATTTCATACGGAGATGTCATCAGGCCAAAGGTCAGATTCACATGATGAAGACCCGTGTTTGTTTGTGGGCTCTTCAATTTCAATTTCGGATGAGGCAGTCTCTTCAGCCTCTGATGGGGTACAAGTGGTACTAGGAACCTTTCCTTTCCCTTGAACCATGTGGCTGTACTTGGAGGCAAGAGCAAAGAGGACTCTGCCAAGGAATACTTGTGCAAGGGTCAATAGAACCAGGAGAACAGACAGAATGGCAGTAACAACATTAGCGTTGATCCAACTTGGTGCTTGCATCCAGCTGGAAAAGCTCCATGTTCCAATCTCCCAGGACACATCAATTCCTCTGTAGGAGACTGCCAGCATATATGCAAAGAGGGTGATCAGGGCTGCCTTGGTGATAGCATTGAAAATGGCAGCGAAGTAACAGAGCTTGGGCCACCACCAATCAGTAGCATAACCAAGATTCTTGAGAAGCAATGCAAAGTACATTGGCTGTTCAGTTCCTGCCATCAAGCAAAGAGTTGCTCCTAGCTTGGTAGCAACTTTGACAGAGAAGGTCTCAATGCCTGGGAGACCAGCGAAACACAGAGTTAGTGTGGCTCAAACATTAAGCTCTGCATTTTCCTGCCTATTCCTGTACCTACCTGCTACATAGCAGAGCATAGCCATCAAGATGGCAACCACATGGTGGAGTATCAAGTCAGAGCGAATTCCTTGCTTGTAGAAGAGCTCTGCCAGATAGAGAAAGATCAACCCAACCCCAATGGTCCTGGTGGGAATATAGAGTTCTGCGTCCACTGTGTCCACAGACTGTTCATTCGTTATCAGAGTCATGTAATCAGCAAGCAGAAAAGGAAGAACCACAGTGCTGTACACCAGTTCAAGTACATAACACACTGTGTTGCGCTTGGTTCTTTCACATGCCATGTTCTTGATGGCCTTCCACTGTGAGGATACTATGGCAATGAAGGCAAGGACAAGAATCTGGAACAGTGCAATATTGACACCAGGATCTGTAATGCGAATTGGAGGAGTGAGCAGAGCATCACGGGCTGCCAACTCACAAAATTTCATGTGATGATCCACAAGATGCTTGAAGTCTTTTGTTTCCTTGTATGTTGGTGCATGCGTGGCAGTCTCAGATCTGTCATATGCAAAGCTGTTGCCTCCAGCAATTTGGCTCTTGCCAAATGGTTGGTCAGCTGGAGTGACTACCCCCAGGGCACGGACAAAACCTGGCACAGGTGGGGTCATTCCAAGGAGTGCATTACACATTTCTGCACTTGCGGCTTTTCCACCATATGTGTCCACATCTTTTTGTGGTTTGTACACACAAGTCATGACAAGAGTATCACCTGGTAGATATTTCCACATTCTGAAGTTTGGCTGCTGACTATTCTTGTCAAAACTGATTGTGTTGATAATGTCCTGCACATGAACCCCATCACGGATCAATTGCAAGTGACCACAAACTCCTCTGTCATGCATGTGGAGCAGGTTCATGAACACCTGCACTCCATCTGGTGGGAGAACAGCTCTTGATGCCTCACCAGAAATCTGATAGTGGACTTCAATCTCCTCCTGGTTTTGGTCAGCTGGGACATGGATGGTGTCTAGGTAGGCCTCAAGAGTTACAAATCTGGATGGATTGGTCCATGTTGGGAGGGCAGGTGGCTCAGCCCAGAGCCTCAGACCTGCTCTATCATCAACAATGGTAGCACGAGCTGCATTCTCATAGTGCACCTGCAGGACGTAAAATCTGAAGTAAAACAAGGTTAAATCCATTCTGCAAAGTTATGCACATGACAAGTTGTGGCTGCTTACCCTGGTTCCAGTGTGAGGTGGAGGCCTGGGGGGCCTTTGATGCGTGGGGATCGTGCGATGCCAAGAGCCATTGGACAGTCAGGCATTTTAAACTCACAGTCAAAGGCTTGGCCTTCCACAACAGAATGATGATCTGCATCTCCTTCACATTGATAGAGGGTTTGGTGGTGAATGTATGATGGACGTTCGCCTGTATTTGCATGGATTTTCCCATCACCCCAAACTGTTTCCGCAGCAATGACCCTTACTGGAATCTCTGGGGGCAGACGGAATGCCACACATGCAAAGGAAGTCACCTTGTCTTGAGGTAGAGTAATTTTAGGTAGCTGGACATCGATGGCAACATGATCTTGCCCACCAGAACCAGTTTCCCATAGAGTGACAATGCCTTGTTCATCGAGAAGTGTCTTCCCAATCTCCTCATTGGAGTGGTTTGAGAAGCCAATTGTTCCATAGAACAAATCTTCATCAATCATAAAATTGACAGTCGTGGCAGACCTAACTGCAGGTCCGTGGTAGAGAATCTCGTTGTTGTCATCTAGATACCCGGAAGCACAGATGATTGACTGTTGGAATGGTTCAACTGCAATGTCATCATAGTCACAAGAATCCAAGGGGCGCTCCACCAATGCATGGATCCGGCCATCTTCATCAAGTTCAGCATGGATCAGCTCCACATTCTGAAGAATGTCCTTTCGGGGCTTCACAAAGTCAGTTGAGATGAGATCTTCTGCTACAAAGGATGGCTCATCAGCTCCATTGTCAATCATCTTTACAAGCATAATGTCAGTTCCCTTCATGGTACCAAACTCGGAAATACCCAGGCCAACCCATTCTGTGTCAATGGCACTCTTGAAGGCAATTCGCAGAGTCATTGCTTCCTTATCAACTGTCCATTTGATATCACTGCATCCATTGCCATCGATCTCTATGGAACGTTCCATGGCAGGAAATGATCCATAGGCATTGGCCGTAGCAAACCAGAGTAAGGGAAAGAGAATTGTCTGAAACTTCATAAGAAGGATGGTTTTGGCTCTGAAGTTGGTGGAGGAGGCGAGGTGAGCTCTCAAGTTTTTTTTATGGGAAAGGTTTCTTTTGTATTTCTCAGTCAAAGGCATGCAGAATCGAATGATGATCTGTCCGGTCTCGATCCCGAGCCACTTCATCAAAAACAACGCACTCACCCATTCAGTGTCCATAGACTTCCACCAAGATTCGCGAGTCCCTCTAGTGTTAAATGATTTTGGTCGCGGAACATTTTCTTTAATTATGCGTTGTTCTCCTTTATATATATTTTCCTGTATTCCCACCAGCCCACCAACAAGAATCGAATCGAATGAATCCAATCCAACTCCTACACCACCAGAAGCCCAATGTGATTTAGGGTAGAAAGCAAGACAAGAGGCTGCTTGGCATGGGCAGCTCGAAGCTCTAGCTAGCCACAGCTAAAAATGAGCATGAGTCACAGTGAAAGTGTGTGCGGGTCACAACGTCCCAGATACTTCCTGGGGTCTGGGGCCTGGCGGTCGAGGGTCAATGGCTTGAAACCATTGACAAGAACCATCTGGTAAATCTTCGTAGCCGAAAATATTTGAATGGGCTGCGATAGTACTGCGCTAAAGCGGTACTTGGAAGTCCCAGACACACTGAGCGGCCAGTACACAAGGAGATGAGAGTAATCGGCACGATGAAGGTAGTAGGCAAGATCCATGCTATAGAATGACTTCGTCGAGGTGGCTTCAAGTTAAAATGTTCGCCTAACACAGTGTGAGGTTTTTAACTTCATCTTCTTCCGTGAAACCATTCCTACATCGCAGTAAGCCAGATCAAGAGTCTTTGGCTTGGCGCCGGCCGTACCAACACTGCAAACGAAAGAGGCGACCGAGGAACCATTCATCGGTTCGAGGCAGTCCTCTTGGTGACTACCACGCTACGCGCACGTCCACCAACATTATCCAATCCCAACATTTGACGAAACGCTGAGAATGTGTACTGCCCAGTACCAACAGTTCACCCCCGTTCTCCTCATGTTCCTGCTTCTGCAATGAGCTCTTTTCATTGGGTTGATCATGGCGCTCTAGTAGATCTTTATCGCTACTCTGACCCATTCTCCTTTACCTGTCCTCCTTCCTTGCCATCCTATCCTCCTTCTGGCTGGGTTGGCTGCTTGCTTGGCTCCCATGCACTCAGCCAGCATTGCACTCCACTTCTGGAGTGACGAGTCTATTCCCACCCACAGTCCACTCGAACCTCGTACTAACCCGGTTTTCGAGAAAACGGTGATGTGGAGGAAGAGGATAGGTGAACGGAGGTTTGGAAGATAGTCTAGCATCATAAAACGGAAGCAACGAAGCAACGAGCAAAGAGTTCAAAGAACAAGAAAGCCCAGCCATGAATCTGGTGCCTGTTTGGGACTTGACGAGGACCAGGAGGGCAAATTCAAATTCCCAATTAGCAGCCACAAGGAGAAACAACGGGGAAACAGCCCAACCAAGTGCTTATGCATCGCAGAATGGTCAGAGCTGAGAACAAAGAAGAAGAAGCAATGATCTTGAAGGTGCCTTATTGGAGGGAGAACAAAGTTATAAGTGAGAAAGCACATGGAGGCATGCAACGAACGTTCCCCTAGTCAACCGAGTCAGCAGACGATTCCTGCAAGTCTCAATACGACCACAGTCTTCATCCTGGACCCCGGGAACTTCTGGCGACCCACATGAGGCCGACCAGTCCCTAACACATAAAAAGAAAACATGTTAGATTTAAGAAGGAAAGAATCGGAGTTAGACAGGGGTATAAGACAACACCAAAAGAAAATAGGCCAGTCGAGTCACGAAAGAAAGGACTTACACCAGAAAAAGCAGTCACCGTTGTTGGCAACAGCACCAACACCAACACCAACACCAACACCAACACCAACACCAACACCATGGCGAAAGCAACACCAGCAAGAGGGACCAAGCGGAGGACAAACGCAGCTTCGAAACTCCCCAAAAGCAAGAGCACAATAGCGGCGGGG